CATGGTCTATGAAAGAGTTCCCTAGGAAACTTGATTTTAAATCCCCTCTCAGTTTTTATACACATATTTGTAAACGCATAGAAAAACTTCTGATTCTTAGGGATCGCCTCTGGAAAGGAGAATGGATTGGCCAGCACCTGTTCATACAGTTCACTTTAGATGTCTGTACTGAGTATTTTATAATGAGCATATATTCATGCATTTCTTGTTTAATTTTTAAAAATTTAAAATAAATGAAAAAATTTATAAGAATTTACTTTTAACACAGAAAAAATGCTGGTATAGGAGTTGGTGACCTGCTAAACCCTACCTTTGTCATTTAACTTAACAGTTTCTCTGTTTACTTATTTCTAAAACAAGGAGGTTTGATTAGATCATCTTTTTGATTCTATGATCCTTCTGGGGTCAATCTGCATTAGAGGAAGTCCAAATTAAATTGTAGTTTCTTAAAGAAGTATAATTTTCTAACGTTAAAGTAAATTAAAAGTCATTCTGGCCATTTGGCAAAGACCGCAGAAGGCTCCCTTTTAACCCGGAAGAGCCGGGAAGGAGCGCTGAGAGCACCGTGAGGGGGCTGATCTCTGGCAACTCCTTCGGAGCCACCAGCCTCGCACTGTACCAAGTCCAGCATGTTTAGAGTTAAAAGTCTGACGAATGTGGGTTTAAAAAAAAAATCATTTTACCAAAGTTGCTGAAATTAATTCTGTACTATCATTTTTTAGCTTTACAAAAATTTTTTTTAATTCTCCCTTCTTGAATGAACAGTGCAACAGTGCAGCTCGAGTGGGATAACATTTTTTTTTCTGGATAGTGCTTTTATTTTTTAAATTTTTTTTTATTTTTGCATTTTTTAATTGTATTTTTTTTCATTACGGGGTGCGGTAACATTTTGCTCTCTTTTCCAGTATGGGCTGAGGGGGAAGGGCACTCTTTGAGGGCTACCAGGTTCCAAAGCACAACAGGAGGACAACATAAGGCAATTTAATGTCCATATTCAAAAATGCAACAAAATAACAACTACAGAAACTTGTTAGAGACCTCTGCAATTCTCATTTCAGGGAAACAGTCTAACTTATTAGACTTGGCTGTGGGAACTGTTCAGTCTTTCTGGAGCACCTGGATTCACTTATGTTCTGATCGTGTTAGCATCCTGTTCAGGAGTCGGTCAGGACAGGGACTGGGGTTTCTGGCCTCTGAGCTTAGGGAGGGGGGCGAGGGGGTGACGGCACCTGTGTCAGGAAGACGGTTCAAGAGGAGGACATCGGGAGTCTCAGGGATGGAGCTGAGGTGTGAGTCATGGGAGGGCTCAGTAAGCTGAGGGACCAGGTAAGGGGGACGAGTGGAGAGCCTCAAAACACTGTTCAGTTAAACAAGAGGCTGATGTTTCAGCCCCGACCCAGGACAAACTTAAACTCTTCATAAAAAGGAGCATGGTTCAGGGGAGAGACTGCCTGCAGTCTCTGCCCACAGCCTCCGTCACTCCCATCCCCTGGCCCGAAATGACACTTTCAGGGGCCTTAGTATTAGTTCACCTCCTAACTCTGAGGTTCCAACTTAAACCAGACAACACCTGAAAAGAAATGGATACTCAGGGCAGCCAAGATTATGTCTGCTTACTGAGCAGACAACTCAGCTCTACGGAGCACGAAGTACCAATGGATGCTGTTATAAGGGAAGCTCCAAAGCTCCCTGCCAAGTTTTGTTCTTCTAGGATGGTCCAACACTTCCCCCCAAAATATTGCTTATATTTCCTAACAGGCTAGCAAACTGTTTGATAGTATAGAAATAAACTTCATCTTCTTCCTTTCTTTCTAATTCCAAATTAGAGTGGAATTCTATTTCTCCTATATTTGAGTCATACAGGCCTGATGGAATTTTCTCATATATACTTTTAATACGGCACTTCACGTCACAGCTTTTGCAGTTGCTTGATAATATGGTATAGTCATACTAACTCCTGTACTTATTATTTCAGGGACAAATGTGGAATTAAATGTGATTTTTAACATTAATTTAAAGCAAACTTACTATGCATCTGTATTTGATCATGAGTTTTAAAAGTGAAGCTTGTGCTTTGTAAACAGCAAGACGAGTGCCTAGATTTTAGTAAGTAGGAAAAAAAATAATTAAAACATAAGTAGATGGGAATTTAATCTCTTCAATTTAAAATCTCTTAGCTTGAATCCCTCATTAGAAGGGCTTCATAAAAAAACAAGTCGTAAACATTCTCAATGATTAAATATGTATATGTGATCTATGATAAAACTTAACCCCTAGGCCATTATATTCTTAACTATACAAAATTATACTTGTACGGATTCCCTTTTTATTAGCTCCATCTTCCAGTGAAATGTTCACATAACTGTCTTGTTTCTATTCCTCCACCATGGACCATTCAAAAAATGCTTCTTTCCAAAGACTGTGAAGCATTCATTGATAAGCCACAGGTAACTTAGACTATAACATGTCCTTTCCAATTAATAATGCTGTTGACTTGGTTTATGAGGACTGAATTATTCTTCAGAATCTTTTTATACCATGTCATCGCAAGCTAAGATTTAGAGATGTTAGAGCACCAACTGCATAAGGATGAAGAAAATGGAATGGTTTTACTTAAAAACCAAATTATCATCTCAATTTAATCTCTGTACTTTCCATACAAAATAATGGCAGTTGGCAGTTTACTCTTAAGCCCCATTGCTTTTGAATGAACACTATTCATGGAACAGTATTCACGAACACTGCCCAATGTCCAAATTCAGCTGCAATTCTGTGAATGTTTGGGAGTCAGCAGATGTGGGTTTTAGTTTTGCTTTTGTCATAAACTAGGGCTGTGCCTTTGGCAAGATCCTTAATCTCTCTAGGATTGTTTCTACAAGCTCTAAAATGAGGGCTTGGATTACTGGAAGGTTAAGATTTCTTTTGGTCACGGAATTTCATTAGGGCTCTATGTTTGTTTAGAAGATACAAAGATAACAGCTGGCCTAGTCTAATGCATGCTAGAAATAACAAAGAGAAAAAAAATATGATTTGAAAAATTCAGGTAAATAACTAATGCGTAGTCCTCCCCCACCCCAGAGCCTTTTGGTTCTCTTCTTATCAGGTTTGGTATATGAAATTTTGATCACTTCAAACAGCTGTAATTTGTGATTAGAACAGTTATCTGCTGGATGCATAAGTGGATGTAAACAAGACAGAGGAGCTCATATATGGTAAAAACAATGGCTGATGTCTGGCACATGCCAGAGTTTTCGATCACTACCCACTTGAGATGTTTTTGAATTGTTTAGTCATGTCAGGTAATATTTTTAAAGTGTTATTCTTTACTTTGCACTGTTAAAACTAGGATTAACCCTAATTAAAATATTCTCTATCAGAAGTCTTATTACAGCAAATTTTATACAGCAACGTTCTTAAACACAAGAGTTCTGACTAAAACCAAATACTTAATAATTCTTTTATCTGCTCTCTATCTTCTTTCTAAATAGAAGGGCTGGTGGTTATTTTAGCATCTGGATTGTGAACTAATGATATCCTTAATGACTGGCTTTCAATCATCTTTAAAAATTCTGTTTTCCTTTTATTTTAATTTAAAAAGAATGACAGAGTTAGTTGGAAATAAGTCTAACTTTCATGGGTTTTCTTTTACTTTTTAGCAACTTTGTTGGTTCCTTTGGTTCTTGTTGCTAAGTCAGCAAAGTGGTTATAAAATGGACATGATTTAAAGGTGACTCACAGATGTTAAATTGTAGGGTTTTCTTACTTTCCAAGTTGCACAATTAAGATCTTAGAAGAAGGCCCAGCAGTAATAGAATCTTCCTCCAGGACCAAGGTGAGTTAATGAATAGTGTTGAACCTATCAAGGGGGCAAGGAGGAACATTTGGAGGTACGCGTGAGTGTGTGCGATGGTATGTGCACAGATGCAGAGATGAGTAAAATTAAGTGCTGAACAGCTTTCCTTAACCATACCTCACCGCCCTGGCTAACCGAAGCAGCTGCCTTGTACTCTGCCCCAAAATACAAATATATATATAATACATACATTTAGCTGACAAGGAAGACACAATTTCAAGTGAGGGAAAGAGGAGAGATGGTTGAATGAGGCTGAGAATAATGAAGGCAAAATATTATTTTTGACTTTGGGGGAAATGTTTGGATTTTCTATGTGAGGGGAATTATGTAAATGTGAATAGTGGTAATAATGCTTATCTGACCAGAGCATATTTTATGTCACAGTGAAATACATATCTGAGACCTGTTTAATGAGTTATTCTTATTTTTTACAAAGTTATCCATAGACAGAACACCAGCACTGACAAAATACCACCCTCTCCAATACACTGACTCTATATAGAATTGAATGTTTTACAACCTGAATTGAAATACAAGAATGTAATTAGAAATCACTTAACAGAAGTTCAAATGTTGTAAGTTGTTATTTTCAAACATGGGTCATTTAATAAAGAGTAACCCTGTAAATAATAGCTGGTGCTGGACTTACATATCTCTCTCTCTCACACACACACACACACACACACACACACACACACACACACACACATACTGAAGACACAGAATGTTCTATGTGATTTGTCATTTTTCTTTTAACAAAGTGCTGAATCAGAACGAAATTACATTTTTCATACAATTTTAATGAGACTACATCAGATATTTAGTCACCTTCAATATAATTATTTAAGAGCCTAGTAGATGAAACTGTATTTCACAGAAACAACAATAAATTAAGAGCGAGACACAAAGTATGTGTTTAGAAGTCACTGGAAAGCACTTGATCACCATAATAAAGATGGCCACCGGTTTCTGACCTAATTAAAAATAAGGAGTCATGTAAGAAGTGGCTTTATTAGAAAAAAATGTAGTATACATGTGGCTAATTTCTATCATTGATAAATCTCTTGGCTATTTTAGAATTAAAATTGAACTTCTTTAGAAGTTATTGGCATTTCTTCCTATTCTGATATGTAACTTAGGGGAGGAGTTATCTTCCGGTAACAGACGCCCTTTATTTCTTTTCATAATTACAGCTAATCAATCAGTAGTTCAGCACTGGCACAGAACACAGAGGGAATCATTTAGGTAGTGCTTTGTGTGTAAGACATCACACTTCCAACCCCAGAATCAGGCACAGGTATGCCATTTCTAGAGTTTTTAAATCCCCTTTTATCACTCAAGTCCCACATTATTATTACTTAGTAGTAATTCAGTTAATGTGATCATCTGTAACCTAGCAAAACCTCTGAATGAAGTTTCTCTCTTCTCCTTTTTATCCCGTTAGGTGTGCAATTCCAAGCAAATGTGCAGAATGCAGTATTGATTTCCAGTCTCTTTGTATAAACTCCTTCAAGTCTGTGCTATTAAACTGAGACAACCACATCGAGATAGAGTCTGTCATAGGATTCCCTGAAGCACAGAATGAGGAGGAGACTGAGCAAACACGACCCGGGAAGGCACCAGTTGAACCAAGACAACTCTGTAAGACAAAAACATGCAGATGTAAGCACAGGGCAGTGTGCAGGCAACCTGCTCTGCACTCAAAGGCACTTATGATTAATGCGCCCTAGGAGGCCTGACAACTGGCTTTCAATAAACAGTGACAATCTGGAGTCTAAGTGATGCATGTAACATATTACAGAGCTTTCATGTGGAATATTTTTAATCAATATTGTTAATAACTTTTTATCAATTTAATCCACCTTGACTTTGATGGCAAAAAAAATCTATTAACTACAAAGAAAAAAAAGATCACCTTTAACTGTTTGTTAATTATTTTTTAAGTGCCCTCTATCACCCTCACTCTTGTCCTTGTTTAGAAATATCTGCTGGACTAGAAATACAAAATCATCTGAACTTTGAGATAACATTTCTGTATTTTTTTGGATAGAAATACCTAATTCTCAGCAAAAACATCAAGTAATAATTCATTGTAAAACTGATGAGAAAATAATTTTAAAAAATAAAGTAAAACATAAAAAATGTAATCCTAATTCTACTCTCAGAAAAACTACTGTGACTATTTTGGCTTATTTCCTTTTAGTCTTTTTTTTCCTACAAGCATAATTGTTATGGGTGATGCCAATTACCAGAAAACCTACAAGAATCATCTGAACAGACAACTCTGTTGTTATCTGACGTAAGGGAATCAAGAACATGCTTCTTCATAAAGGCCTGCTCATGACGTCTGGACTCTCCATCAGGCCACGCCTGGGTCCCTCGCGGGGGCTGCATGCCAGCTGATGGTGGCTGCCTCCAGCTGTTTCCTCCAGCTCCAGCAGCCCTTGAGCTCTACAGCTGTTCGGGTTTCTTCAACCCCGACCCCCTTTACCAGTCAGTCCCGAGGCTCTGTGAGCATAAGTGAGCAGCCTCTTGGCACTGGGGGCAGGGTGAGGGATAACTTCTCTAGTTTAATATCCATTTAGCAGTTTCAACTTTAAAAAACAACGCATGAGATAGAGAAGTTCCCTGGTATATTTTTTCTTTGGGCACTGCTATCAGTTTATATTTTCCTTTTGTACTTCTAAAGAATGCTAACACTGCCCTCATCTTCAAAAATCGTCCTAAAGATCTCCACACTGCTGCTTCAATTTAACATATAATTCATATGGGTAAAAGCAATTTATGCTCAGGAATGGAAATCCGAAAACCAACTGGTACAAAAAGGTGCTGAAATACCTTTTTTACTGGAATATGCTCACAAAACCTGCCCCCCCACACCTCTCAATTTCTACATTTAAAAGTTAGACATGCTACTATATAGCATGTAACAGAGACATGCATTTCAATGATAAATTCATGCAAAGCTATTTTCTGTGGTTTACTTGGATTGAATAGAATCTAACACTCAGAAAGGCTGTGAACTCTGGGATCTTGTCTTTATTCTGATATTTCCTGAGATGACACACCAGGCATTTCCTGCCTTTATGTTAACCATATAGCCTCTGGGGTTCTGATGCTAATTTTAATAGTCAAAAAAGAAGCAGTAAAAAATATGAAGAGAAAGAACAGCAAAAGAGTGACAACAGCAACAACAGCATACTGTTTGCAGTGAGCATTTTGACTTTAAAGTCAAATTTTAAGCATCATTTTATGGGGAAAGAGAACACACAACCATGCAGCAACAATTAACTGGTTCTTGCTCTTCTTAAACGTAATCAAGTTTTTGCCAAAGCAAACCTTATTTTATCAGAGTTGTAAAAGTATTCCTTCTACCTGGGTTCAGATGAATCCTTAAATATGCCTCATAATTGCTCTTTGGTGTCATGCTTGGTTGGTTCATTTTTACTATTATGCCTCTCTCTGAAAAGTCAAATCCACCCTTCTGTAAGTTCACCTGACTCAGCCAACTATAAACGTTCTTTGAAATTCTTTGCCTTTTAAGAAAGCAAAAGGTCAGAGTCTGGAACCTTTACATTTCCCACTGAAAACCAGTCACATAAATCACAATTTAGGTGCTCTAACAAGCAGGAAATGGTTTGTTTAAAAGCCTCATTCGACTTAGCAATAGCAAAGCCAACTGCTGTCTCTTCTGAGCCTGGTGTCTTATGACGTAATTGAGCCAATGGATTCCTGACCCATTGAAATTTTCTTATTTTTACCCTTTAAATCTTTTAAAGTAAGCACAGTTTGCTAAAACCCCTTCCCTTTGTCCTTAACTAGAGACCATATAAATCCATACTCCAAGGCTCCACAGTTTGCCTCTACATTTCTGCTGGTTCTCTACTATTTATTGTATACACTGTAACCTGAGCACTCACTCTCTTTGCCAATCTCCAGTTTAGACAGGTGCTGTATTTTACTCGGTGAAGTGGGCTCTGCACCAAATGGTGATGCTTTTTGGGATGGAACTAATTAGGATTTTGCTCATCTTACCTTTTTCTTCAAAAGCAGTATTATACTTCCCACTTCCTCCTTCCCTTCAATGATGCCATGCTTTCGGTTTCTACCACTTTCAAGTACTTGTCTGGTTCCAGATACCATCATCCAGAGCGAAGCTATTTTTCTTTGGTAGTTTAACTATAATTACAGTGATTTAGCAAAACTGTTTCCATTCTCATTTCAGAGGAGCCAGCTGACATCATGGATTCACACACGGTGTAACACCCTGCTCCCGGCGCTCCTCGTTCATAACCCAACAGACCTGACCATCACACACACTGCATTCTTTTACTCCTCAGATATAAAAATACTTCTCACTAGTTCGCATCTGTTGAACCTGTTCTGGTAACCAGTAGATAACGGCCTCCCACCTCAGCCAGGCCCCTGAATCTCTTGAGCCACAATGTAGCCTTGCATTCATGGTCAGCTACTTCAAAATGAAAGGACTGAAGTAAAAAAAAAAAAAAACAAAAAAAAAAAACACACACACAAACAAAAAACAAAACAAAACAAAAAAACCCAAAAAACTTTTACTGCTTTTAGTCAAAACCTGCTGCAAAGATTCTAGAACAACAACAACAAAACCTAGATAATACAAACTTCAGAATAAGTTACAAAGTATAAAATAGGATACTGGAACACATTTCAGAGGATCTAAGGAATAGAACAGCATTCCCAAATTGTTTCTGCAGGTGAAGCTATTAGAGAAAGGCATCACAGTGCTGTCTGAAATAACTTGCTGAGATCCTCAAAGCAAATATTATAGGAAGCAACTGAGTTTTACAACTATCTCTATATTAGGGAACAAGTAACAATTTTTTAAAAAGTGACCATGACAAAGCCAAGTCAGAAAAACTCTTAAGAAACTTCTGTCGCTGTCCCAGTTACCCAGGGCTCCGAATAAGCCAGTGGCATTGGTGTAAGGAGTCTGTGTGACGTTTGCTGTCACTGATGGTGATGGGCATAATCTGCAAGCCAATCACCAGTGGAGCCTTTCTTGCCAGGCAAACCAATCTCATGTGGTCATTCTGGGGTCAAAGAAACAAAGAAGCTGTCTCTGATATAATCACCTCCCAGATAGCACATTGTGGGGAGATAAAACTCTAGTCAGGAAGTATAGTACTTCTTTAAGAAGAGACCTAAAAAACCCACAGATCTTTATAATGATTAAAAAGCTAGCCTTCTAGTCATGTAATTCATAGTTGAATTGTAACATATAACTTAACTTCTGGGTAAGTTTTTCAAGTTTTAAAATGACTATTTATTATGACATTTGAACAGTGGCTTTAATGGAAAGGAATTCCATTTATCCTAAAAAATATTGAGCCCTGGCCAGGTGGCTCAGTTGGTGGGAGTGTCATCCTGTACACAAAAGGTTGCAGGTTTGATTCCCAGCCAGGGCACATATGTAGGTTGTGGATTCGATCCCCAATTAGGGCGCGTATGTAGGTAACCAATTGATGCTTCTCTCTCACACTGATGTTTCTCCACTCTGTCCCTTCCTCTCTCTCTACGATCAACAAAAACTTATCCATGGGTGAGGAGTAAAAAGAAAATGTTGAGGGCACTATAAGTTATTTTTAGGATATAATTTTACAAAATTTTCAGATGTGCAATTTTTGTGTCATCATAAGCTGTTTTAAGACATGTGGACTTTATCTGCTGTGGGACTTTTGGGACAACATCAATTAATTATATGTGAAAGAATCTCAATACAGTTTTCACAGTGCTAGTAACCTTAGCCTTAGAGAGACGTGGGGTATGCCTGTGTGTATTCAGTAGACACACTCATAAACAAACATATAAAAGCTTTTCTTTCAAATTGAAGTGTAGATAATTAAATTCCTAACACCAACCACCTAATCACCTAGAAGGAAATAAAACATTTGGGGAGCGCCAGTTATGCCCTATCTAGGCTCTTGCACATATGGTCCTCTCCTTAACTCTCTAAAATGTCCAAATGCTCTGAGATTTTTCTTCCTGAAAATCACCTTGTTGTATTAAAAGTATTTAGTATTTAAAAAGTTTCATTTTTCACAAGAATCATGGAGTTTAGGCAGAAACCTTCAACATCTACAGACACATATGAGAACGTGTTACCAGACACCAGCCAAAAAGAGGAAAGATTTTTTTTCCCTAGCTAGATGAATCCTTGATTACATCAGTGAGACAGGAAGGAGCAGAAATGGTACTATGGGCTTCTTCCGCTGCCTGAGTCAAAGAAACAAAAATACCTGCTGGTATCTGGTCACTATGAATCTGAAGAATGAGTGCGCATTGCCTGGCGTCAGTTCCAGTTATTTCATGTTGAACAGATTGACAGCGGCAGCCGGATCTAGGGGAGTGACAGGGATACCCTACTGGCCACGCAAAATGGTCAGGAGTGCACCGGGCTCCCCACAGTCAGACAGTGTAGGGATATTCCCTGCCTTAAACTGATCAACAAATAACGTGTTACAGTCTAGAGACCGCATCGCATGCAAGAGGTGTATTGGGGGAATAACATTATCTGGCATCTACTGTTGTTTTTAAATATCGGGAGGACAAAACTCCACTTCCAGCGGACAGGAAAAACCATGCTCTACTAGGCTGCAAGACCACTTACCAAACCTCTGCCCATGAACTGCAAAACTGCCCTTTAAGGGGCAACAGAGCCATGTCTGAAACTTTACCAGGCAAAAGAGAGGCACTGAGCCTTTTAACTGCAACTGTGATGTAACTGAAGTAGATTAAAGCTGATATGTAAGAGTAATTAGATGATTCTGTTTAGAAAACTCTTTGGAAACAAATACCTTAGTCCAACACTTAGGAATGGCATGTTCCCTAACAGAAACACCTTTTTCCAGAAGGACAGTCAGGAGTGGTCTGACGTCATTAATAGCCGTCTCCTTCATATAAACCAAACATACATCAAGTTTAGCAAAGTTAAAGCCTACTTAACATGCATTACTCATTGATTATTTCTATCAATGAGTAATAAAATTTCTATCAATTTTTGATAGAAATAATCAATGAGTAATTCTGTTGTTAACTGTAATAAGAAACTAATGTATCATTTGTATGCTTTTTGCTGTTAAGTGAAAATACTGTGCTAAAAGTTGCCTGAAACCCAGGGCAAATTCCCTTTCATGAGCTCTGAAAGTTTCAAAAATTTGTTTTCCTAAGGAGGTTAATGTGGTTACTATTTTAACTATAAGGCTGTCCGAAAGTTTTCCATAAACAAGTAGCCTCTTGGAGCATCATATTTTATACCACTTGTTATTACATTTGAATCTTACAGATTCCTTTATGTACAGGTTATCCAAATAAACTGGTATTTGATGAGTAGTCAGTAGAATAGCAACGAGGCGGGGGCAGGGTGGAGCAGGGAAGGTGGTAATATTAGACTGGTTAAGATGAGAAATAAAATGAAATATAAAACTAGTAGAAATTAATAAAAGCTTCATATTCAAGAACCACAAGTATAAATTCTTATTTTAACATGCAAAAAAAAAAAAATCCTAGATAATTTTACCCAAATTTTCTAAAATAGTAAAATAGAATTTGGATTACAGAAGGGAGAATACCAGAGAAAAGCAAACAATTGTTCATAACAAAGCCAATACAAACCCACAGACCCCAGCAGCAGGCAGGCCTGCCTCCGACAAGCTCAGCAATCTCCCCAGTTGTCCCTGCAGCGCCTCCTCCCAGCCCCTCAAAGATGGTCTGAAAGTCTCATTCTCCCCTGAAGCCCTTTCTCCACTTTCTTCCCACCAACTCTTAATAGATCAACTAAGCAGAAAGGTGATGCTATCGAGAATGAACTCTTTTGATAACCTACCCAGCAAAGGTATCTGCCCCTGGGCCCACTAACACGGCCTTCTCTTCCGCCTCCCTTTGCCCAGGGTGAGCTCCTCTGCTTGGGTTCAGGACCCCCTCCCTTCCTCCTTTGTAAGGCTCTCCCTCTTCTTCAAAGGGGTATCCCTGGGTTCTAATTTCAACCTTCTTTTCACTCTATACCTGCACTGACCACATGTAACTATTAAAACTTAATGAAATAAATCCAGTTCCTTAGCTGCACTTGCTTCACATGGCTAGTGGCTACTGTACTGGACAGTACAGATAAAACATTTTCATTGTCATAAAAAGTTCCATTTGGATAGTGCTGTTCTGTACATTCTGTACGCTCCTTAGGTGACCTCTCATTCATCCCTAAGGCTTTAAACTATGTAGCCCTGACATTACTGGTAACTAATACCCTATGTTAAGAAAGGAGATTCTAAGTATTTTTAAAAAAGCAATGAGAACCTGCATATTGGAATCACCTGGGGGGCTTTAAATATAAACGGTGGGCTCCAGTCCAGGTTAATTAAATCAGAACTTCTAGGGATGTAAGGGTGCATTAGATCAGATTAGGATGCATTTAAAGAAATAAACAACTGAAGGTATCTTCTTTTATTGGTATATAAAAGCCCAAATAAAGTAATCTGCATTAGTGAGAATTCTCCATATAAAATCCCTATACAGTAGTGCCACAAACTCTCTCATAACACATTTAGATAGTAATCAAAAGGTCAAATTTCTTACCTGTGTGATAAAATGTGAGAAAAAATAAAAGTACTCCCATGAATATATTACTTAAAAAAGTGACAACTCCACAAGTAATTCCTTCTGGAACTGGGTAGACAGTTTCCACAAAAAGCTCAAAAAATATAGGTATACTGCTATTCAAGAACACTCCCAGGAGAATACAGGAGGCGTACAATGTCACTGAAAGAAAAATACAAACATTTTAGTTTCCTGGTAGCAGCAGTGAGTCATATCAGATAGATCTTCTGGGTCTTCTCTTTTGTAAGTACTGACTCTGCCATTTCATCTCTTTTCAATGGTAGTCGATAAAGAAGTTTGACGAAGCATCATACATCTGTCGTCTTTTTGCTCAGGTGAGCAGATAGGACAAGGTTTTATTGCTGGAAGATTAGCAGTTTATTTGCTTTATGTTTTTGGTGGATTATTCCAAATATTCCAAAGCACAGAAACAATCTTACCACTATAATACAATTCAAAGGACTCTTACCTCTTAGTCGCACACTCCTGGCAAATAGAGAGATAGATAAAATATGGCAACTTAATTTGAAATCTAGACTCATTCTATAATTTTAAAGAGAACTTAAAATCTAAGAATAAATATAAGAAACATTAAGTGTTACTGAAAATTATGTATTTAAGAAGGCTGGTTAATAATAGTCCTCAAGTACAAAATAAAAATTCAGTATGTAATTCCTGGAGAAACACTTAAAATAGAATTAATTCTCCATTTTGGAGTAAGTTTTGTGTCAACTATTGTTTTGAAATTTGTAACTTTTTGGAACAGAAAAAATTTTCACCCAGAAATGTATAATTAACCCCAATAAAAAGCCTATTTATCCTGTTTTGTAGTGAAATCTTTGAATAAGGACATTACTGTTTTTCTTAGAAGAAAGTTTAGAGAAATGCACCCCACTCCAAATAACTACATTGTTTGCTATTATTAGCATACAAACCTTCATAAATTTTAATTTGACGGTGAAAACTATGAGGAAAAAATGATATTCTGTTTAGAAATCTAAGAGATCTCCTATAGACTATTAAATATATCATATCCACTAGTGATAATGAATAGAATTTATTCTAAGCTTCAGGTTACCAGGAAAATATTTTAATAAAAATATTTAAGAAAAAATTTCTGTACAGGAACTATAGAAACTGAGGGAGTTATCCTAAACCTATTATGCATTATTCATAGGACATATCAAATTACCAGAATTTATTATAACTGTTTACATAACAGTCCATGACATTGTTGAAGGGATAAAAACACAATATCCACTGTTTTCTAATAGAATTTCTCCAATTAACCTCAACTCCCACTTCCTCTTCCAATTATACTGGTCTTTCAGGGTTATAAAATATTTAGTGCATTCTAATATCATAAATTGCTGGTGATTACTTTGACTTTCTTTGCATAGACCGCACATGAGAAGATAGAACAAAAGATGACAATGAATAAAGAACATACTGTTGGCTAAAGCAGTGACCAAATTATCCACAGAATGAAATGGCAAGTATCTGATAGTTACTGTACCATTTAAATTAAATCACAAAGTAATTTTCAAGAGATTCTTAGAAACAACAACCACGCTTCATGCTCACTGTTTATTTGCTAGACATAGATCATGTAAATCAATCAACACATTCTACTTAACACACGACTCATTAGTCGCCCATTAGGAAATCTAGGGATGGAATATCACTAAAGCATTTATAGACTATTCTATCTACAAAACACTTTATAATTTATCGGTCAGTTCGTAGTAATCAGAGCAGAGATGGCTATTGACCCAAACACTGATGAGCCTAGGAGTTCAAAATAAGACAACACCGAAATGGACGACAGGAAAAAGCAAACCCTTGAGTACCAAGAAGTGTTACTTCTAAGTAAGAATTTGCCAGTGATAGACTTACCATTTTTTAGGAAATATGTGTGGAAATAATCCTTTTTGGCATTTATATTTCCGGAGGAAATATACCCTCACATGTAATTTGTAATCAGGCAAATTAAAATGTAGTACCTAAAAAATAATCATAATCTGTATATAATAAATGCATGTCGTAAAAGAATGATAATGTAATGATGAGGATATACTGTAAAGGGACTATCTATTGGTATAAAGTCTTGAAGAGAGATTTTATTGATTTTTATCAACCATGCTACCAAAAAAAAAAAAAAAAAAAAAAAAAGAGCAAGAGAGGGAGAGAGAGACATGGGATGTCTCCCAAGAGAATGTGATGAAGCAGGGCTCTGTCTGAACCACCCTCATGGCCACGCCACGCCCATGGATTCATTTTATGCTCATTACAAATCTTTTGACTTTGGTTTCCTAGGTGTCTATTTTCTGGAAAGGGAAGCGGAAATATTTGTCACTGGAAAAATAAAATTTATATTGATTAAATAGTTCATCTTCTAGTGGGTAATTAAGGATGTCTATCAAAATAAATAATGCACACTATTTGACCCAGCAATTCCAGATCTAGGAATTTATCCTACAGCTATCCAGGTGCAAGTATATAAAGTAGACTCACTGAAATATTGTTTGTAGTATAAAAATATATTAAAACCAACCTAAATGTCTACCAATAGGTTGGTTGTTAAAAAAACATATCAAACATCTAAACAAAGGCACATTATGTAACCACTAAAAATGAATTAACTCCAGCCTGGGCCAGGTGGCTCAGCTGGTTGGAGTGTCAACCCATTTACCAAAAGGTTGTGGGTCTGATCCCTGGTCAGGGCGCATATGGCGTATGGGAGGCAAGCAACTGATGTTCCTCTCTCACACTGGTGTTTCTCTCTCCCTCTCGTTCTCTCTCTCAAGTCAATAAACATGTAACAAAAAAGTGAATTAACTCTGTATGTACTGATATTAAGAACATCTAACATACATAAATAAAAAAGGTACAGAAGTGTTATATGAAGGTCTGTCTAGAAAAAGTCCAGCCATTGTTAATATAATGAGAAGTTTGTGCAACTTCAATGTAATCTGGCAGCCAAGGAGAGCGGGCTGGAACGCATGCATATGAACAATGAGGACTTCACTGTATTAGTCAGTGGCAGTGGCAGATGTCATTGAGTGAGCATGTGTACTGTGTGGCTGTCACATTCAAAATGACTGAGTAAGTGGAACAACGGATCTGCATCAAATTTTGCATTAAGCTTGAACTTTCCTCCATGGAAACTATTTGGATGATTCAGAAGGCTGCAGCTATGGGCAACAGGTGATTGGCAGCTTCATCATGACAATGTACCCACTCATGCATCATGTCTCATGCAGAATCTTTTGGCGAAACATCAAATCACCCAGAGGATTCAGCCCCTCTACAGCCCAGATTTGGTGCCCTGTGACTTCTGACTTTTCCCAAAACAAAAGTCACCTTTGGAAGGCAAGAGATTTCAGCCCATTGAGGAGATTCAGGAAAATACGACAGGGCAGCTGATCGCAATTTGAAAATTGTGTGAGGTCCCAAGGTGCCTACTTTGAAGGGGACTGAGCTGTCATTGTCAATGTTTCTTGTATCTTGTATCTTCTTCAGTAAATGTTTCAATTTTTCATAGTACATGGCTGGATCCATTCTGGACAGACATGGTATTTTTAAAAGGATACATACACATTTGTAAATGTATAGGATACTCTGGGCAAATACCCAAGAAAGTGACATTCAGGGTTGCCCCTTGAGAGGGAAACGGGGGATCCTCAGGAGGGCAGACCCTTTATCTACTATTTGAATTTGACTTTTTTACTATGTGCATATCATACCTATTTGACAAAATCAAAAGAGAAATTTCATTGGTAACAAATTAGTGAACTGGTAGCTGACCCAACTTCACTTCATGCAAGTTTGTTAGTTCACTGACTCATCATTGCTATCTACCTCTGGGAGCCACGTAACCCAGTCCTAGTGCAGGATCCTTCGCGTAAACATTCCCACTTATTTATGAGAATTTCTGTTCTATATAGAGAAAATGTACTGTGATGAATGATAGCTTCAGAGGCCAGTAATAAAAAAAGCAAGTATTTTCATTCAGTTCTCTTACTCTCAATGTTTGCTTCTTATACTATAAAAATGATGAGCTAAAGGTTATTTTACACTGGATCAATATACTGAAATCACTTCTTATTGTAGCAATTGAAAAAAAAATGAAAATAATTTGCAAGGAAAGGGTTAAATTAAGATCTTCATAATAGAATGTGGGAAAGGTGGCTGTGTCAGGGCTGATTTAACACACCCCTCCCCAGTGCTCTGGGGCATGCCTAAAGTAGAAGCTGATTATTAATAAGAGTCTGAATTTGACTTCCACTTGAGTTTCCAGTTTAGAGTCTGATGCAGTGTCTCTACACTGGTTTGGCAGATCTAGTGGGTGAATGTCATCTATTAAAGGTCAGGCAGACAAGATAATTTCCTGCTCATCAGAGATGGTTCAAATTACATGATCATTAAATATTTCCATGACTTTCTACAGAACTGATACTAAAATTATAACAGACTGTATTTCAATTAAAAAGCCAAGGTAATTTAGCAGAACAAACACAATGCTGATAAAGAGTTCTTTCAAAGAAGCTAATAAAATTCACAGGCCCACGATTTAAATTGAAAAAGAAAAAAAGTCCCATGTAGCACAAAATACAGTTACAATGGATGTGTTCCAAGAACATAAATTGGATTAAAACCCTGAAAATTACTAGTCCCCCAATGCCACTCCCAATGACAAACTAAGTTACTAAAATTTAGGGAAATAATACTATGTATATATACATTTTTATTAACTAAAACATTCAAATTTTAGATGAGTAGTAGTTATAAAACAAATCACAAAATTTCAGATAAGAATAAGAACTATTTCCACTCAACATTTAATGAGATTCTCAAGATATCATTGATAATAAGAACAATTTTAAACCTTGGATTTATATAACTTTTAAAACATTTTTTGGAAAATGCTTTCAAATATATTATTTTATTTGATCATCCTATCAACTCTTTGAGGCAGGTAGGGTATTTTACAGATGAACTGGCCAAAGTTCTGAAGGTCAAAATGACTTATTGAGAAACAATGTGAGTTAGCAGTGGTAACAATAACATAATTAAGGCCTACAGAATCTAGAACATTTTCCACCAATCCACTGTGTCAGATGGGAAAAATAAATAAAAATAAGGCTTGGTATTTCTTTTAT